TTTTTTTCTTTCTGTTCTCGGATATTTGGAATGAAGAGTTGATTTTGTTGCAGGAACTGATGGCGGAAGGAGAGGGCAACGAAGGGATTAACGCCCGGGGTTTTAACGAAGAGTGACGGTTAGGTGTCTCGTGAGCTGCGTGATGGGTTCAATTTGGTGAATTTGATGCCTCGGTGTTGCGAACGTGCGAAATTAGTCTGCGCGATCGTTTTCTATTGTCCCCTGATTTTCGTCGAGTGTGCTAAACAATATAATAAAATTATATATAATTGTATTATATTGTTTATATTTATTGTGATTATTTACTTTATTATTATATTATATTTTATTTTCTATAATATAATAATATGAATTTCTTTATAATATACTATATATTACTTTATTATTATATTATACTTCATTTATTATAATATAATAATATAAAACACTTAATAATATACTATATAATAATTTGCTATTATATTATTATTTATTATTTACTTTATTATTATATTATACTTTATTTACTAAAATAATATAATAATATAAAATACTTTATAGTACTTTATAATACTTTATAGTATATTTTATTTACTATAATATAATAATATAAAATACTTTATAATATACTATATAATACTTTATTATTATATTATTATATTATTATTTATTATTTATTTCATTATTATATTATACTTTATTTATTATAATATAACAATATAAAATACTTTATAATACTTTATAATATACTATATAATACTTTATTATTACATTATTATTTATTATTTACTTCATTATTATATCGTTTATCATAATTATAAGTACAACATAAACTCACACTACTAATGCAATTACGCTTAGATACACTCGACGAAGGACGACGGGAACGACTGGCCACCTTGCCGAAGAAGGTTCAATTGCAAACCGTGGCGATCGATTAGACAAACTGAACAAAATTATCCGGAAGCGTCGCCGACGCGAGAAGACGAAAAAAAAAAAAAAAAAAAGAGGAGAAAGTGGAGAACCAACTCGCAGCTGGTAGAAGATCGAAAGGGCCAACTGGGCACGTCCACCGGCATTTGGAGATGCTTCGCTAATGTCGTGAAGCGAGCGAAGACAGAAAAAGAGAGAAAGAGAGAGAGAGAGAGAGAGAGAGAGAGAATAGAAAGAAAGGAAAAAAGAAAAAAAAAAAGAGAGCGCGACGTGGAAATTCCGCAAAAGGCGGAAGGGAATAGGGGTGGCTGGCTGGCAAGGTTGGCACGTACCCGCTCGTCAAAATGGACGGGCTAAGCCCGTATAAGTCTAACGGGATTTTCGATGGTGGGCGGGCGGGGTGAGTGCAGACCGCGGTTCGGTGGTGGCTGTGTGGGTAGGAGGGGGAGGCGGTTGAACGCTGGGAGTCCTTCAAGATGGCGGCTATAAGGGATGGTTTAGGGCGCGTGAGGGTTGCGGGTGAGGCAATATATCAGAGCTGGAGGGAGCGAGAGGAAGAGAAAGATCCTCGTGGAGGGTTGCTTCAACCCCGATGATGGCCGTTACTACCCCCTTTTCTCTCTCTCTCTCTCTCTCTCTCTCTCTCTCTCTCTCTCTCTCTTCACCTCGTCTTCCAACCTCTCTTCGTCGTCTTATCCTTCGCTTTCCTTTCCTCTCCCTCTCGCCTCCTTCGCCCGCGTCCGCCTTCGTATCGCCTTTACTGCCTTTGCTCACCCTCGATCGAGAACATCCTCCACCCCTCTCCGAAACCGCCTGGCTCGTCCCTCGGCGGAGCCCTCGGGTCCGTTCCACGAAAGTATAAACGTCAGAGTAGACTGATGGAAATGGACGGGACGAGGGGGACGAGTCGGACGATCGGGAAATAGTGGAAAATCGAATGGCGAAGGGTGGAAAGTACGTGGAAGGGGGATGAGAGCGCGACGACAATTCGTTGCTTCCAGGGATTGAAGGCTTTTTCGTTCCGAAGGCTGGATTCTCTCTCTCTCTCTCTCTCTCTCTCTCTCTCTCTCTCTCTGTCGCTCTTTACCTTTTCCGCGCTGATATGAAGAGGGAGGACGATGGAAATATGCCAGCCGGAAGTCGTCGAAACCGGTAGCCGCCGATGCTTGTTGATGGATTCGTGTAAACGCGCCGAAAGCCCTCGCACCCCTCTCGACGATGCGTTCTGTTTCGACAGAAACGGTTGATTGAACGCGGTTCAAAGCGGACTTCCACCTGTCCAGAATTCGCTCTCTTCGTTGCGACTTTTTTTTTTGGAAAGCTTGAAGATTTGAAGATCTTCCCGTCGCATTGGAACACCGAGGGAAATGTCGTCGAAACGTTGTGGTGCGGGGCGATTCGAAAGCACGTCGTAAATCCACGGGTACCGGAAGCGGGCTAAGTGTCGCGACCGGTTAAAAGGCATTAGAATAAATTCACGGGGGGATTTATCGCGCGGCCGGAGAACGATGGAAGGAAAGAGGAGAAAGGCGGCGAAGAAGTTTGAGAAGTAGGAGAGAAATAGGCTGGAGAAACGGCGAGAAAACTAGAGGAAGAAACGTAGGAAGGAAAGGAGCGTACGTGCACGCCTGTAAAGATTTTCAGCTCGCATCCGTGCCGCCCCTCGCCGCATGGAGAAGCGGTAATGAGCTTCAAATTCGTTCCCCTTTGCTTAGTGTACTTTAACCGCGCGTATCGCGGCGCGAAACACGCGCAGCAGGGAGAAAGAAATCAAATCCAGAAACTGAAGAAAAAGGTAAAAGAAGAGAATGAAGTGGATGTGTGTGTGTGTGTGTATATATATATATATATATATATATATATATATATATATATATATATATATATATATGTATAGCGGGAGAGAGCGTGACAATGGCCGGACTCGTTAATCGACGTCGGCCTGGGAAACGGGGGCGAGGAAATCGCGTGTCTCAAAGTGGCGCGGAGAGAAAACGCGGCAAGAAATTTCCGCCGATAAAGAAGATGGAGGGAGAGTGGTAGGTGGAGGGAAGAAAAACGAGCGGGGACGAAATCTCGTGGAACGGAATCGCCGACTTTTTCACCTGCCGATCGTTCCTGCCACCCACCTATATCCACCCGTGGCGCGAGCAGCTCGTTTTCATCCCTTCCCTCCGAAAACGCTCGCACCGTTTTCGACCACGCCAAATCTCCGAGAATATTCCGAGCGAGGAAGAGACATCCCCGAAAGCGGAGGAAAACATCGTCGAAAGAATCGAGGCAGGAGAGGGAATCGTGATCGTTGATCTCTGACGATCCGGAGAGGCGCGGAGGGGAACGAAGAGGAGCGTGAGTCTTCGAAGCGTAAAAGAAACGGGCGGACCTCGGCTTTTTTTCTCTCTTTCCTCTCCTTCGCGGTATTTCGAACGAACGGGAGGGAGAGAAATACGGTACGAGTACACGAGAGTGATGAAAGAGAAAGAGAGAGAAAGAGAGAGAGAGAGAGAGAGGCGGAGAAACGGAGAAAGGGAACGAATGAAAAGCTTCGAGCTTGCGGTAAACATCGAGCGTGTAATTCGCTCTTTAAAGAACACTTGGACGATAATTAAGCCGGCATGGGGGCACGGCCTGCAGCCTGTGGTGGTAAGGGGGCCACGCGGAAACGTTGGCGAAACGAGGACGCGGAGAATGATGCAAAAAAGGACGGTGACAGAGGGAAGGATGCAGCGCGAAGGGTGAGACGGAAAGTGAAGAGGACGAGATGGCGGTGGGGCGAAGCGAGGGTGAAACGACGGGTTCCGGGCACCGTTGAAAAGATCTTTCTCCGTTTATTTTTCGTGACCGTGGCTCGGAAAGACACGTGGTCTGATTTTAATTAGCAGCAGGCGGTGCACTCACGGCGCAGCGCGCGCCCACCCACGGATGGAGAATCTCCGTGGGCTTAGAATTTACCTGAACCCTTCGTTCCGCTTCTTTTCCTCTCGTGGTCACCCCCGCCCTCCCCACTCCCCGCCTTCCTTTGGCCATGTTCTCGCGCTCGGTCAAGAGGGTTGATCCGACAGCGAAATTCGCGGCTCTCTCTCTCTCTCTCTCCAGTCTCCAAAGAGGCGACACTGGTAACTTTTGATAAATCGGCGTTGCTGCGAAAGCAGATTTATTTTTCTCTATTTTTTTTTTTTTTTTCTTACGAGGAAAATTTTACTTTTCGTAAGATGAAATTTTGTTTAATAGAGGACAGAGGTTGGAAACCGTGTGTTTCCGAAATCTTGCTACTTTTCCCGAGGAAAATCGAACGGTGCTTCGAGAAATTACGATATTTCCCTGTGGTATTAATTAACGGAGGCAAACTCTTTGGGGAAACGATGGAAAATCGCAGAGGCGGGAATTTAATAATCCGAGCTTCCCTTTTTTCTTCGAACCTGAACTTTCCAGATAGCGTGCCAAGCACTTTGGAAGACAAATCGCCTATTTCACGTGTCATTGGCCAACTTATACTATTAACAGACACAGGGCAAAGGATACGGTGAAAATTCTGCCGTTCAATTTCACGCTCTTTAACTTTTGAATTATAAATCAACCGCCAATTACTTCGAGCCACTGCTATAAATCGACTTCTAATTCCCGACTTTCTTCTACCAACGAAGAAGAAGAAAAAGAAAAAGAAGAAAGAAGAAAAACTCAAAGAAAAAAAAAAAAGAAACCAAAATTCCCCTCGGTGAACCACGCGTGCAAGTCTCGCCGCGTGTTGACAGAGCCTGGGCGAGCAGAGATCGACACGTATATTCAGAATCGAATAACGAGTATCAGCGAGGGCAAGTTCTCCTCTCTCTCTCTCTCTCTCTCTCAGCCAGCTTCCACTCCCTCTCCGTCAGGCGGAAGGGAAAAAAAGAAAACAAAAGAGTGACGACTCCCGGTGGCTTTTCTTCCCTCCGTCCTCCTCCCGGTTCGGCAAACGGGGGTGGCGAGGTGGCTGGCAGGGGTTGAATCGTCGCGCTCACCGACGTTTTATACGTCGTCGGGTTTCATGCGCGCGGCGGCGGTAATTTTTTTATTAGCTTGAAAACCACTCGACTCGTCGTCGTCGTCGTCGTCGTTCTTCGTCGTCGTTGGTGATCGTTGTGTCGCCGCTAGTCTGCGAGACTCGCCTCCAAACAGGGGTGCAAGAAAAAAAAGGAAGAGAAAATCGTTCGTCTCCGTCATCCTCTCCTCTCTCTCTGTTCATTTTCGTTTCACCCTTCCCTAGTGGCTTCCCTTCGCCCTCGCCCGGGCGGATCGTCGAACAGTGAAAAGAACCACGCGTTCATTTGCCTTATTAAGTAGTTTTGCGGGAATTAAGAGCGTGTCGCTTTGTCACGGCTCGCCCTCGCCATTGTTCCGTTCTCGCGGGCTTATAACTCGGTTTCTGGCAAGAAGTGCCGCCAAGAGAAACCTTGGAGAAGTCACCGGCGAGCCACCCCTTTCCCTCCGCGAGAGGAGCCGCGAGAGCCAGCCTCCTCTCCGTTTACGGCGGCTTCTTTTCCTTCAAACGCCCGGCCTCCCCGTTAATACAAGCTTGTTGTCGTGTTATTGGTAGCCTTCTGAACGAGCTGAAGGTGATTTTTCTTTCACCAGGGGTCGGAAATGAAATTTACACGCCTTTCTGAAGGGAATATTCTCTCAGCTAACGAGGTCTTCATATCGACAAATATCTGTTACGTCGAATGATTACGCCCAGGTCGAGCAAATTTTTAACAGAAACGAAGTCTAAAACTTGGGAAATATTCCATTTCTTCCGCTCTTCTTACGTTGCAAAGATTGGAGAAACGACTCGCATCATTTTTAACACATTGTTGACCGATCACGAGTTAATTTGTGTTCGCACTTGCATCATTTTAATTTTTGACACTTAGAGTAATAGGAGGACATTGTGAAATCTTTCTTCGTCGTGTTCAACCACGTTCACTATATTGAAAAAAAAAATAATAATAAATGTTCTGGTACTTTTAAAAGTGTTCTTTACACTGATTCACTCTTTTAGGTTTTCAGAATAACTATGAGACCACGTTTTGGAAAAAATAGTCACTGGTATAAAAAAAAAATAGAGTATCCTCTTCAAAAGGAAATCGCAGTGAAACCTGTTGTGTACCATTGCACGTATGTAGATGATTGTTGTACAATTTATCATAGCAAAAGAATGACTAAAATATATTGCATGTATAAAATATAATATACATATAAGAGAATATATATATATATATAAGAGATTACAAAGTTTCATTTAAATTCATTCTGCATAAATAAATAAATAATTGAAGTTTATTTACATTGTTTCACTTTCATTTGAAATATATTTGCAAAACCAGTTGTGCACCATTACATATATGTAGGTGATTGCTATATAGTTTATCATAGCAAAAAAAAAATTACTAAAATATATTACATGTATAAAATATAATATATATATAATAACTAAAATATATTACATATACAAGAGATATATGCATATAAGGAAATATATATAAGAGATTACAAAGTTTGATTTAAATTCATCCTGCATAAATAAAGTATATTGAAGTTTACTTACATTGTTTCACTTTCACTCGAAATATATTTGCAAAACCAGTTGTGCACCATTACACGTATGTAGGTGATTGCTATACAGTTTATCATAGCAAATAAAGTTACTAAAATATATTACATGTATAAAATATAATAACTAAAATATATTACATATACAAGAGATATATGCATATAAGAAAATATATATAAGAGATTACAAAGTTTCATTTAAACTCATTCTGCATAAATAAAGTATATTGAAGTTTACTTACATTGTTTCACTTTCATTTGAAATATATTTGCAAAACCAGTTGTGCACCATTACATATATGTAGGTGATTGCTACACAGTTTATCATAGCAAAAAAAATTACTAAAATATATTACATGTATAAAATATAATAACTAAAATATATTACATATAACAAGAGATATATGCATATAAGAAAATATATATAAGAGATTACAAAGTTTCATTTAAACTCATTCTGCATAAATAAAGTATATTGAAGTTTACTTACATTGTTTCACTTTCACTCGAAATATATTTGCAAAACCATTAGTTGTGCACCATTACACGTATGTAAGTGATTCTATACAGTTTATCACAGCGAAAAAATATTATTACACGTAAAAATAAAATATAATATATACAAGAGATATGTAACAGAATCATTTCATTTAAATTCATTCTGTAATATAAATAAACTATATCGAAGTTCAGATTGCTCCGTTTTCATACGCAATTACGAAGTATACAGCTTCTTTGTAAAATTGCCGGTCAATGATGCGTTAACGTGCCTGTTGCAAAGGCAGGCGAAGTTAAAATAGGCATCACCGTTGCCCACAGGTGACGGTGAATGAAGAACTTAAAATGTTCGAGCAGCCCCCGGTTTCCTACCGGTTCTACCGGTGCTTCGAAACTCTTGAAAGGCGATAAACCCGTTTCGCGTGCACGCGCCGCTCATTATAATGAATCGCGGAAACGCGTGCGCCTATCCCTTCGTCTAGAGTGTCTCCATCGTCCGTAGACGCGTTGCAAAAGATTTCATACTTTGATCCTTTTCCATTGCACACGTTAATTTGACACACGTCAGGCTAACCCGTTCCCACCGCGATCTCTCCTCGAAATCGTACTTCACGGCCCCGTTTCGGTTTCGTTAGTCGAAGTAGTTACCGGCGTCGAAACTTGTTGCACGCGAAGAAGTAATTTCGAATCGCGAAAACTTGTTGCACGTGGAATTTTAATTTCCACGTGTTTCGCTTTTTCGCGAAACTGTTACAGAGGACGATGGAAAGGCCGATTGTGAGTCGAAAGCCCGAAGAGGATCGAGAGTAGAAGAGAATTTGCTCAAAGGACGATTTTCAACGTCGATCGGCGACATATCGCCGTATCGGGACGACAGGCGCGGGAAGCCACCCTCTTCGAGTTGGTATTAATGCGAAGGAAGCCCTTGCCTCTCTCGGAGTCGGCTCGCAATCACCCGACATAAATAAATCGACCTCCCTTCCTTTCTCTCTCTCTCTCTCTCTCTCTGTCTCTTTTACTTCTCTCTTTATCGGTCCAGAATCCCCCCAGCGATCGAAATACGTCCGCGTAAAAAGAAGAAGGAGAACCGAGACCGAGGAGAGGACCAATTGTTCCACTCCGTGTAGATCGGATCTGTCGTTAAGCCACGCTTACTCTCCGCCAATCCCACGGGCGATCTGTAATCGGGACGACGTTCGCCGATTTATTTCAGCTGATATCTTATCGCTGATACAACGCTGCGCAATATGCCTACGTTTTATTAACCGTCGTCGAGGTATCGAGGCACTTTTCATCGAAATTTGATTCCTCCGGGTATAATAGAAAATGAAACCCTGTTTCACTGTTGAAAAAAAAAAAATATATATATATATATATAATAATAAACAACGATAGCAATATAATAAATATAAATATAATAGTATGTATAGTATGCTATTAGTATTATATAATAAATATAATATATATAAAAGTAGTAATATAATAAATATAATAGTATATATATAGTGTACTATTAGTATTATATAATAAATATAAATATAACAGTATATGTAGTATTATATAAATAGTAATATAATATAATAAATATAAATATAACAACGATAGTAATATAATATAATAAATATAACAACGATAGTAATATAATAAATATAAATATAATATATATAATAGTATATATAGTATAATATAATAAATATAATATATATAATAGTATATGTAGTATAATATAATAAATATAATATATATAAAAGTAATAATATAATAAATATAATAGTATATATATAGTATACTATTAATATTATATAATAAATATAAATAGTATATATAGTATACTATTAGTATTATATAATAAATATAAATATAATAGTATATATAGTATTATATAAATAGTAATACAATATAATAAATATAAATATAACAACGATAGTAATATAAATAGGAGTAATTACAATAATAAAATAAAGAGTAACATAAAGTAATGTAAATAAGAAGTGAAACAATGATATAAATAAAATAATAATATAAAGAAGAAGTGAAAGTTTGAAGTTAATTCTCGGCTCAAGTTCAACTGAAAGAGAGAGAGAGAGAGAGAGAAAGTAAAAAAGGGTGCAGAGTGTCTCGAAGTGAAAACGAAAGCACCTCGGGAGGCCGACTTGGAGCGCTCGGCGGCGATAATTCATCGAAGAGAGCCAGAGTAACCGACGTAAATTTTTGTCCAAACGACGAGAAAACCGAGCGTTCACGGTAAACGCTTAAACAGCAGTTCCGTCGTTAGTCTACGAGCCATTAAGTAAATTATGCAGGCCCTGCCGCCCGGATGGAAGCGTAAACTTTGAACCGTTCGCCGCTGAATCGAGGCCGATCAAATTGTTTCTCCGCTTTCTGTCGAACGTAGCGCAGCGTGCTCTTCCTTCCGAAGCTTTTATTTATTTCACGCCACGCGCTTTCTCGACTTTGCAGGCGGTTGGTGTGTACAATCTAGTACTTCGGTTCGATCGAATTGCGATTTAGCCTCGTTCTCAATCGGATCTATTGCGGGTGAGAAACGTTCCTGTCGTTCGATCTTGGATGGCGTTCGAGAATTGCGACATATTTGTTCCAGTTGCGCGAAACACGTTGCGTTATTAACACATTGACAATTTTATCTCCTGTCACTGGCTATTATTTTGCGATTGAGCATGAAAATGAGATAGATAAACTTCAATATACTTTGTTTAGAGCAGAATGAATCTAAATGAAACTTTGTATATCTGTTGTATATATATTATGTTTTATACGTGTAATATAGTTTAATAATTTTGTTTTTGATGTGATTGTACAGCAATCATCTACGTGTAATGATACATAATAGGTTTTGCAACTATTCGATTCAAAACTGTCTTCTGATAAACTATCAATTTCTGCGTCACTACAACTTTATAGTATATCTTAAAAATATAAATGAAAATAAAAGTACTACTTATTATAAGTAAATATAATATATAAATTATTATATATATATATTAAATTAAAAATTCTTTTCAATTATTAAAAATTAAGATACATTTAGATATCTATTTATTTAAAAATTGAGATATATTTAGATATCTATTTATTTAAAAAATATATTTAAATATCAATACATTTAAAAATTAAGATATATTTAGATATCTATTTATTTAAAAATTATATTTAAATATCAATACATTTAAAAATTAAGATATGTTTAGATATCTATGTATTTAAAAATTAAGATATATTTTTCACTACGTCGCTACAACTTCAAATATTTAAATACTAATAAAAAGTAATTCTTTTTATAACAAAGTGAACGCGACGAAGAAAGATTTCACAATATCCAGTATTACTCCGTGTCAAGAATTAAAATAACTAATACAAGCACAAACACTAGTGAACTCGTCACTGGTCAACGGACATGTTAATTATACGTCAGGCTCGTTGTACACATTAAAATCATTATTCGCGTCAGAAGGTTGCAACAGGTTGCGAAGCATAGAAAAAAAAAAAAACGAGAAAGACGTTGCGAAGTTTGTACAGTTTTTAACAAAACGTTCGACATTTTATATCCTTGTTTCGTTTTTTCCTCTCGTCTTTTCACACGTCCAAAGAAACGAAGAATTACTCGTCAGAGGGTTAAACGATCGTTCCGATACGAGCAGTCTTGCTTCCCGTTTGTCACGCGACGCAATTTTTCTGGTTGATCCTGTAATCCGGATTCCCAGTAGCGTGGTCAGTCAGGGGGCCAGATCGGATCTTCTAATCCCCGGGGCGGGGATTATCTGCAAGCGTCGAGCTCCGGTCACCGCTTGCAGGGATGGGTCGTTACCGTGGCAGTCTGGCGACTTAACTCCCGGCAATTAATCTCTCCGCGCTAATTATTTAGCCGGTTAGCAAGAGTTCCGTGCGGCCGAAACGGTAGTTTCCCGTTATCAGATGTAGTAGGGGCTCGTTCGAGAGGGATCGGCGAGTAAGTCGGCGTGGGAGGGTGAGGCGGAGGCTACAAGGGAGGATGGAAGCTCGAACTCGTGGGATGCCTCGCACGGCGGCGATACGGTTGGGGTGGAAGGTGGAAAAGGGGGGGGGAGGGGGTGTGAGAGGGAGGCGCGCGGTTGAGGTTCAGTCGTGCTCAGGAGGATACACGAGGGGTTGAGGCTCGCGCAAGAGTAAATTGATTAGAATTAAAGGGTTGGCTGGCAGGTGCTGCTGCCGGGTTACTACGGACCGTGAGAGAGAGAGAGAGAGAGAGAGAGAGAGAGAGAGAGAGAGAGAGGCAGAGCAGAGGAACCGTAAAGAGAGAACACAGGAGAACATAGAGATATACGAGGGAGGAAGGGAGCGAGGGTACAACGGTGACCACAGCCTCGACGCTGATTGGTCGAGTCAAGTTTGTGGCAAGATGGCTGGCTGGTACTGGTGCTGCTGCTGCTGCTACTGCCGCTGCTGCTGCTACTACTGCCACTACTGCTGCTACTGCTGCTTCTGCTGCTTTTGCTTCTGCTTCTGCTTCTGCTTCTCTCTGTCTCTAACCCTCTCCCACCCACTCTGCCGTCGTACTAGGCAGCAGCCCGTACTCCAGTTTCTTCTCCAGTTCACCTCAACCTACCATCCTCCTTCTCCTCCTCCTCCTGTGTGCGCTTCGTCCTCAGGCAGGTTCTCTACTAGGTTCCCTTCTCTACGGCGGTCTCTCTAAGATGCTTTATCTATGTGCCAAATAGATGTATGTACGTGTACACGCCTGTTCGAAACAATGCCGGGCGTGCAACCACCCCCGGAGCTGCTACCAACCACCCTTTCTGCCAGCACCATACCACCCGCGGCTCTCTCTCTCTCTCTCTCTGCCTCTTACCTCTTACCTCTTACCTCGACACCGTCAACCCGCAACTCTCCTCCCTCCCTCCCTCCCTCCCTCTGGCCCCTGTCCTTTTCCTTGCCCTTATCATCCCTTACGCGCTCTCTCGCCTCAACCCTTGCCACCCATCTTGTCCACCCCCTTTTCTCTCACCTAACCACCCACCCACGGGCCACCCCTTCGTAGACATCGTCGTCACCGTTTCTCCGGGCCCACCCGATCCTCCCCTCCTCCTATCCACATCGCTTTCGTGTCCCTCGTCATCGTCATCTTCGTTCCTTCCGGCCGTACCCTTTCGCGTAGCATCCCTCTCTCCTAACTTCCCTCTCTTTCTCTCTCTCTCTCTCTGTCTCTTCTCTCTCGTCTCTCTGTTAGCGTCGCGTCCTATTTCCATCCCGCCGTTTCCATCCCCTCGTCCATCCACGTTCGCCCACCTCACCCCCGCACGAGACTTCGCCGGCGAACGCCGAGAATACCGAGCCGGCCTCAAAGAGAATGCGATAATACGAAGAACTTCGACTAATGAGTTAATAGTTGGTGCCTCGCGTTATACCGTCACACCGCGGGTACTTTATTCGACGTCGCCCCGAGCAACGAGATTATAACGCGCGGCAGCGCCTGTGAAACGCACACGTACGTGCCTGCCTGCGCCGATATATATGTATTCTGCGCGCGTGGCTATCAGCGTGTGCACGATTATGTGCAGCAGATATACGTTACGTCGAGAAACGTAAGTGAAGCCGCGTACGGATAATCAAGGAGAATCGTGTCAGCGAGTTTTCACTTTCCTCCAGGAACCTCCAGTGCCGGCCACCTCTTTCGCCCGCTTAATTGATCCGCGCCAAACGCTGAATTTTATCTCTAGTTGCCGCGAAATTCGTTTCCCCGAGAGGCGAGAGAACACTCGGATCCACCGCGAGCGTGTTTCATTGGGAGAATCGGGATGATTATTAACAAAGATCGCGTCGACGAATCCTGCTCGATCACGTTCCTTTTGCACCTGTCATGTCTGTTATTTCTACTTCGTTTCGTTGAAACTTCACTCCGAGCGTATTGAGATATTACGCACTGCTGTCGTGCGTTCAATCTGTTCCTAATCTACAATCTGAATGGATTATTCAAGTTGGAAACGGACTTGACTCACGGATTGTTCCCCAAACGTCAAAATATCGATGGTGAGACATCGTCCACTTTCAAAAATCGCGATAAATTAACGCTGAGGCTAACCCAAAGAATGACAAATTTATAATTTTCGTCGGACACGTCGCAGGTGTGGAACAGTGCGTTTCGAAGGTTTAAATAATTTTTCGTAAAACGTAAGAAATAAAAGTATTTCCTGGACAAAGTATTCATATTATTCATTAATCTAGTATTAATTAATGCAACTTCCAAAAAGGAAAAAAAAGAGAGAGATGTCTCTCTGAAAGGAAACAGCGTAGACCTGTTTCTCGCGAAAGTGATCGATCGCCTCGGCGAGTCGTTCTCGCCCGATTTTTGGAAACAAGCGGCGCAACACAAGGGCAACAGAGCCCGAAATCGAGAGGGTCGGCTCACGAATTTACATTTCTAACCGCGGCTAAGAAACGGCCGCGTTATGGAGATTGCGAAGGTAAACGGCGCGATATCAGCATGTCAAACGGCCTCTTTGAGCGGAGGCTCGGGCGGGCGAGCGTGTCGGCGACAGCCGCGGGGCGCTCTTTAAAACGCGCGGCCCGCAGAAAAATCCCAGGCTGCTTTCGCCAGGGAGTGTGTGCACACCCGTGTCGTGTCGTGTCGTGTCGATTCGTCGTCGTCGTCGTCGTCGTCGAGCCGCCAGCGCGAGAAAAGTGCAACCAATAATTTTATTTCCCGCGATAAAGCACAGCACTCCACCTCGCGGCGGCGTTCCAGGCTGGCACGACTGTGGCAATGGAGAAAAAGAGAGAGAGAGAGAAAGAGAGAGAGAGAGAGAGAGAGAGAGAGAGAGAGAGAGAGAGTGGCGCGTATCTTTAGTAAGTAAACAGAGCGTCTTATGAATTTTAAGCAGCGCGACGAGGAAAGTACGACCTGCTTCTTCTTCTTCTTCTTCTTCTTCTTCTTCTTCTTCTTCTTCTTCTCGTCTGACCTTCTTTCCTCAACATATCCTCCTTCTCTTTCGAGAACATCGTTTATTTAGTAAAAACTAATTTGTTCGATGCATCTTCCTAGTTGAAGGTTCGAGTTTTCTTTTTTTTTTTTTGAACGAGTAAATTGAGAGGAGCGCGTCGATTTTTCCTCCCTTTAATCTTCGCCGCTTCTGGGACAACGGCGCAGACCGCACGCAGACGGGATTAACGAGGAGCAGCAGAGAATCTTGTGCCCTCTTTGAGACGAACGCGAGTTTTGCTCGGCTCTTCCGCGAAGAGGTCAGTCCGCAACCCCTTCGAGCCCAAGAGTTCACGCAGGCTAAAGATGGCGAGTGTCGTTTCTCATTTATGACGACGTTTCCACGTCTTTCGAGCGAGACGCAGTCTTCTCGTTTTAGAGACGCTCGATATAGTCTTCCCGGGGTTGACGAACCCTTTCTTGGATATGGTTATAAGTAGAAGAAGTCCTGTCTTCTTTTATCGAACAACCCCGTGTTAATCATTGTCACGTGCGTGAAAAATAAAACACCTCGACCAAATTTCCTGATCCAATGAACTACTGCGTCTCATTTTTTTTGAAACTGAGATGAAACTTTTCTTCTTTTTTTTTTTTTTTTTCTTTGGCTACAAAGAGAAAAGAAGAAAAAAAAGAAAAATAAAGGAGGAAGAAAGAAGAGAGACACAGAATGTCGAACGAGTCGAGTTCCTCCCCCGCCGGTGGATTTTCCATGAGAGAGTGGGCGGTCATGCGGCGTTGTTTTGATATTGATCTCCGGATACAACAGCGTCTAAGCATTCTAATGGCAAGGGACGGGGATTCTGCGCGGTGCATGGCGCACGTGTTTCTAATGATTTTAGTGGTACCGAGGTCTACCTACGGGCAATGTATAGTTATAGCACGGCTACGAACACGTATTACATCCACTTCGCCGGGGCACCGTGTAATATGTCGGAATTGCGGAAAGGGGTAACACGCGGCCTGGAAAGCGGAGAGAGAGCCCGCGAGGACGGTCTTGCGGGATTCTTAATGGCAAAAGGCCTCGGAGGTAACACTACGGCTATTAAACGCAGACCCTGCTACTCTACCTCTCGCTCTCCTCTCTTTCCCCTTTCTTACGTCCCTCAGTTACACACGTCGCGCGTAACTGTGTACGAGAGGATAGTTTCTTCCGTCGAGGAATCCGATATGTCATTCACGTTTCGACGGACGACGATAGGTGTCATAGGTGGTAATCTTGGTTTCAAAAAAAAAAAAAAAAAAAAAAGCGAGGAGGGGCGACGATTGCACGTTAGTGTCGATTAATCGCGATCAATTCAACGCGCGTTACACGCGGATACGTGTCGGATGCGGTAAGAAAAATGGGGAGGAGGGGAGGAGAAATGTTGGAAGATCGGGAAAACGCGAAAGGATAAGTAACGAAAATGTAAAGCCCGGATGAACCGCGCTCATCCCCTTTGGCGTCGGCGTTTGACGCGACCGCTGAAATTTTTACTTGGTTCGATTTGGTCTTTCGGGGATTCCCCGCCCTCTGATTGGTGGACTCTGGCCACGCCCTGCATATAAGGGTGGCTTGCTTGCCGGAGCACTATCAACCCTTATGTATGCCCGATGTGAGTACACTTATGTGTACGTGGTGTATATATATATATGTATATATATATATCTATATACATATATATATATATACACACATATGTAACCGGTGCAGATTTCGCGCGTACATATACACAGGTATATATATGTACGTAGGACGAGTACATAGGCGTAGGAACGTGTGTACAACTCGGGGTGGGGCTCTCTCGCAGGACTGCCACCGGGAGGCAGCCGACGGTGAACACTCGATACGACACGGTCGATCGAACCGGTCGTAATTTTAGCATGAAACTGTTATCTAAAAATGAACGACTCACCGACAGTCGCTATTCTTCTCTCGCGAAACTCTCGCGGCAACTCTCGTGGGATGCTTGCGGGTGAAATAATCCAGAATCGAAGGTTCTGATACTTTTGGATAATTCGACGTGAAATTATTTTTAAACATTTTGAAACGGTGAAATTGTATCTTTTTTCCTTCTTCTTCTGAATTGCTAATTATCGTTTCTCAGAGAGAGAGAGAGAGATCAGAAAACAAAAATTCTACAATTCCTTGGCGCTGGGATACCGTAATAACGAGCCAGAGTTTACTCGAGATCTGATTAGCCTCGCAAACGTCGACCTCATTGTCCGTAATTAGCCGTTATTGAATAACGTCATCGGGATAAAGGGTGGCGGGTACGTAAGTAACCGGCGGAAATTGCGACGATGTTTCAAGTATGACTTCGAGCATTAGCGGCGCGGGTACACGGAAAGGGAATTTACGTAATCTCGCGGGCGCGCTGGATTGTTTTGCGCGGCGAATTGAATAGAATAAGATGTCACTTCACTCACGGCGGAGAGAATATTTTCATGCTGGGAATATTTTATACGAAATTTATGCCTCAGAGGGATAGACAGAGAACGCGGGAAGAAACTTACCGTGTCTACGTATAGATATTACTATTTTACAGCGGACCGAGTAGAATAAGATGTCACCTCAAATTGTCTCGAGTGACTAAAATAGCTTTACGTTACAAACCTTAAAAGCAACGACGACGACGCCAAGCGGAAAGGGACCCCCGGTGTGAAATACACGAAGGAGGGGGAGGGTTACGGGAGACGTTACGTTAAATTCACCTCTTTCCAAATGATATGCATTTCAAAATTAATTGCATGCGAGAGCATCTTTCGCGATGCGATATGTATCGCTGTAACCCTGCCACTCACCTCCTCCGTGTCTCCCTTTGAATTATTCTCACTTAATTACGTCGCATATGCATCTCTCGTATTATTATAACGGGGAGGGAGTTTTATTTGATGTCACGCGCGAGCACTAGTTTCCATTGTACTTCACCTCCGACGGCGAGACAATTAATAAATTGTACTTTGCGCCTCCTCGTCAAAACTCGACGCTGTTTGCATTTGCCTCGAGACTATCAAAAAAATTTTAATCAAATTCTCAATCAAATAAATGTAAAACTACTCGACGTAATTTCTTTAGCGTTGTCGCGCCTGACAATTTTACGTGGCACGAGATCAACTTTCTCAGCGTTTCAATTTCAAACGAATTTCGCGGGCCATCTCGATACTCGAAATTTCGACCGAGTGGTTTCGATAGTGCGGGAAGTGGTTTGAAGCCTAGTTCGTTTCACCTGCGCGGCGGACGGCGCGGCGCTCGCGTCAGTGCCGTGAACGCTTCAAAACAAAGTCGTGCTCGGTCGAGGGTTTCTTTGAATCGTGATTGAAATGATCGAGGAACACGACGAACGCGAAACAATATGCGACTCGGTGGTAAGTATTACGTTCCGCTGTATACGGAAACGTTAACATTCACTTGGTTGGAGGCCGACGATTTGCGAGTATCCGAGTGTTCTTAGAAATCTAACCTCACTTTCAGAATTCGTTGGTGGAGGGCTGCCGTTTACCAGTGAGAATGCACGGAACAGACGATTGGCGTGAGTATTGACGTTCCCTTTTATTTTCAATTTACGTTTCGTACGATGATTTCTTTCAACAGAGCATATAATTTTCTCTCTGTCTCTCTCTCTCGAAATCACGTACGAGGTTTTGTAACGAGACTCGTTTCGCAAGTGTCATTGATTCGCATTGTCGAACCATTTCGCAGGCGAAATAAAAATATTTCTGTTGATTACGTTGTCGTTGAGATCGCGTTCTCGATAGATAGGTGTATGTACATCTAACGAAATATTAGCGTTCATTACTCATGCATTATGTTTAGTTCAACTTTTAGGTTATGTTTAGGTCTTGGATGGTGATAGTTTGTGCGCATACGATTTCCTATTTGTTTCCTCGGGGCTCAATTTACGATTCTCCACTTTGTTTAGATTTAAATAACGAGGCTTTATCAAAAAAATGTCCTTTTGTCATCCACAGCTCTTGCTGAAATCATCAGCGTTAAAGACGTACACGGTGTCAAGTGTTATTATGTACACTATGTAGATTGTAAGTATAACGCGAGTTTAAGAGGAGAGGTGTTTATAATGCGTGCACGTAAACAGCCATTTAACTAAATGTACAATATTTTAGTCAATAAACGACTAGATGAATGGGTTATGGAAGATTGTTTGGACACTAGGAAAGTCCAGTACCCTCGTCGAGATGGAACCACACCGGGAACTGGTGCAGCGACACCGAAAAAACAAGCACCTAGTAGACCACCGAGCCCAAGCAGCCTCAGCAACGAACCAGTCAATGGTTCGGCAGTTTTGCAGGCTGCGTTACAAAAGAAAATGTCGAGAAAGAGAAAGGCCACGTTCATAGAGAATGACGATTCTCAGGACGGCCCGCCGCAGACACCTGGCCCGAGGCCAACTGGCTCGTTGGTTGCACACCATCACGACGATATAGTCACTAGAATGAAAAATGTCGAGCTGATAGAGCTAGGCCGTCACAGAATAAGACCATGGTATTTCAGCCCTTATCCGCAAGAAATGGTAAACCTACCGTGTATATATATTTGCGAGTTCTGTTTGAAGTATAGAAAGAGTCGAAAGTGTCTGGAACGGCATCTGGCAAAGTGCAATCTGAGACATCCACCCGGCAACGAGATATACAGGAAAGGTTCGATATCGTTTTTCGAGATCGACGGCCGAAAGAACAAGAATTACGCACAAAACCTCTGCCTGCTAGCGAAATTATTCCTGGATCATAAAACGCTTTATTACGACACGGACCCTTTCCTGTTTTACGTGATGACTGATTTCGACAGCAGAGGATTCCACATTGTCGGTTATTTCTCGAAGGAGAAAGAATCAACCGAGGATCATAACGTGGCTTGTATTCTCACACTGCCGCCCTATCAAAGAAGGGGCTACGGGAAGCTGTTGATAGAATTTTCTTACGAACTGTCCAAATTCGAGGGTAAAACAGGTTCGCCCGAGAAGCCGTTGTCGGACTTGGGGTTGTTGTCTTACAGAAGTTACTGGGCACACACCATACTGGACATACTGTTGAACATAAAGCCGCTAGTTGAAAACGAGAAGCCTCAGATCACGATAAGTGAAATATGCGAGCTGACGTCGATTAAGAAAGAAGACGTGATATCGACGCTTCAGAACTTGAATCTCATTAATTACTACAAAGGACAATATATTGTTACATTGAATAGGTAATTGGCTAAATAGTCAATGCGTCGTTAGGGCAAAAAAAAAAAAAAAAAAAAAAAAAAACACGTGTCATACAGACACTTAGCTTCTTTCCAGATATCGAGGATTTACGCCACTGACGAAACATGTTTATTCACAGGGAGATTATCGAGCAACACGCAGCCGCAATGGAAAAGAGGCAAATCAGAATAGACCCTAAGTGTCTTCATTGGACACCAAAAGACTGGAGTGTTAGGGCAAAATGGTGAAGTGACAATTTTTCAAATCGACAATAAGACTATGCCAATTCGTCTTGAAGTACGTTTTCAGGATCCCTGGAAGATATGACGATTGTACGATTTGTCAAATGTACAAAAATGAAACTGTAAATAACACATCCGACCGTACCGGTCTGCGTTTTTATATAATAAGACTGCGTCAGGCTTTGCACTGCGATTTGCAATGGTCTAAAATGACGAAAGGAAAAAAGAAACACACACACACACACACACACACACACACACACATATACACATACACATAGAATAATAACTGTTACGAGTATCTCTGTTAAACAACGCATCGGAGAGATAATTGCGGGGTTATCGGATATGAAAGAATCTTATATCTGTTAAACGATACACACTGGCTTACGTCTAGAGTCAGAAAGGGAGAGTTTTAATACGGTGACTAGGATTTTTTAAAAACTTTGCATACGTGTTTGCGATTCAATGATTTGTACGTGGTGTACGAGTCGATCTTGTAAAGTTGTAAATAAATCTGATTTTGTAACACGCGCCTCCATTCACTGCAAAAATACGATACATGGTATCTAGTTTTAAAGCAAAAAGGAAAAAGGAATAAGAAAACAAAAAAAAAAAAAAAAAAAGGAAAGATTAGAGTACACGTAATCATAGTGTTTCGAGGCTTCGAAGTAAAGTAGCGAAGCTTGCGTGTAAAAATTATGCGTATGTGTCCGTTTTGAGGTTTTCAATGAAACCGATTAGTACAACGCAGACAGTTGTTGTATTACACGCAAATATTCGCACAACCGTGCACGCACCGTTCAGAAAACGTATTCGAATTTGCGTGTGCTCGTTATTATTATAGACGGATGGTGATCTGTCGTTAAGAAACGAAAAGAAAAGGAAAAAAAAAAAAAAAGAAAAACAGAAGAAAAAAAAAAAAAAAAAAAAAAAAAAAAAAAAAAAAAACCCGTGGGAAAAAAAAAAAAAAAAAAAAGACAAAAGAGTTGAAAGGAAAGAACGAATACGAGTTGAAGGAAATCGGATTCTCGTTACAAACTGTACACACTGTATTGAACACACGAGCTCTCGTTTATTGTACAGCGGCTGTGTTTGATCAAATCCATCCGTCTGAATCCGATTCCGAGATGTTGTTCTACCAAAACGAAGAGTTACCTATAAAATACTGCGAAATAAAAAAAGTATTTTTCTCTGAAAGTGTGTATTTTTGATAGTTTGTAACGAACAGTACCACTAGAGTTGGAGCGGGCGAGGCAAAAGGAGAAAGAAGATAGAAAGAAATCTTCCAATTTTTTTCTCTTTTTTTTCCACTTTCACGATGAGCTCTCTCTCATTCCCATCGTCTCATCTCACCACTTCACAATTGCACAGAATCGTACTCAAGCAAAAGGAGGGGGGGTGTGAATAAGAAAAAGACACCGTCGAGAAAATTTTTAAATACATCTTTTTTATGTATATATATATATATATATATTTTTTTTTTTCATATTCAACAGTAACATCACAGTAGCTTCATATACAATAAACTTTTCTTGTCGTAATTTCATTTTGCCTTTGTATTCGTTCCGCGCCACGTGACGACGTGACACACACGGCGAGTCCCGAACGTTCGCTGGATTTACAAAAATTTGCTAGTTTGCTTTGTTTCTTGCGCCATCGTCGGCAAGTGGAATGAAGGGCAGAGAGAGGGGATCTTGCGATGTGCGTTTCACATCACGCGTATGATTTAGACAGACAAACGACACGAGCCTAAAACCCGCGAGTTTTCATTTCGGATCCTCGTGTGTGCGTGCGTGACAATTTTGACCCGAACAAAAAAGAAAGACAGGATCTCGCCGGTGTTTGATCGTTCCTTTTCTCTCTCCCTCTCTCTCTCTCTCTCTCTTCCACACGAGAATACGAAATAAACACAAACACAGCGACAGAGGGGACAGGAATCCAAATATGATATATTGCTGACTCGTCCGCGAAGCACTGTGTCATAGTGTTCGACCGATGGCGAACAAAAAAAAGACGAAAACCGTTCCACGGCGATTTTAGGAGAATTTTTGCGTTCGAAGCGATTTGCAGGCTCTTACCGGTCGTTAATTAAAATTTCCAACTCGACGTTTCCCTATAGTATTCGTACATTATATATCTTATCTGAACGATAATAACGCGCAATGCCAGTCGTAAATCGATGGCGATGGCAATTTTTTTTTTTTTTTTTTTTTTTTTTTTTTTTTTTTTTTTTTTTTGTTTTTTTTCTTTTTTTCTTGTTTCTTCTTCACACTCATTAAAACACGCACATATATACATATATAATAATATATATATAATTACACGCATACCGAATCACTGTCAGTGTCTGTTGATTGTATTCGTATTCCGCAGACACAACGAGAGTATCCGGGTACTTGAGAAACACTCGATGAACGATTAGGCGAGGACTCGGATACCCCGAGAACGCTATTTTTACCGGACTACTGTGAAATTGTGAGTATTACAATAGAAAGAGGGGGAGGGGGAGAGTTTCGTACAACGAACCGGGCAAACGTGTAACGAGTCTCGAATAACAATCGAAATAAAGTGAGGCGAACAACATGAATTTCTCAGCCGGTTGTTGATGTTTCTTCGTTCAATTGACCGTTTCATTAATTTCGCTCAAGTTTTCATGTAGAGGTGAAAGATGTGTGCAAATCGTTGACCGTACAAAATGCTCGCAGCAATGATATTCAGTTTCGAAATTTATTTGAATTTTTACCAAAAAAAAAAAAGGATATTCAACCTCATTGTCTCAAAATCGAAAAGTATTTACTTTTCTCTCTTTTTTTCTTTTTATCAATAGTTTCGTGTACTCGAGCACCTCGGTTAACCTTCATTCAGACTCAGCGTGCGCATTCGAGTGGGACTAGAAATTGGCGGATAGATTTATAACAACAATAACAACAACAACAATGACAATGAAAGTCCGAGGTCGACGAGCAAAAGTGGAAACAGCGAATCGTTCTTCCTCTTCAATCAGTGATTAGAACGCGATGACAATGAGAACATTGATAGACGTCGGGGAACACCTAACCCTTTTGCACTCATGTTTATTAGAAAAAAAAAAAAAAAAAAAAAAAGAATGGCTGAAATATAATATAGTCTGTTACAAACGGAGGATTAAACGAAGATCAAAGTCATTTAATTATCAACCCTGTTGAATTTCGTGACCTTTCTGATTATTCGTCACTGTGTATTATCAATGAAAGTTTCCCTTCCCCTCCCATTAGAATGCCACCGAGCCTCGAGAAATGGCGTAAAATTGATATGTATATAATATCAGAAAACAGTCTTGGCGTCTCGGGATCAGCGCGGGAAAATCCGCCATTCTTGCTTGGACACGCGAAGTCTCGTCCAAGTGCAAAAGGGAAATAATGTACCACCGTGTGTCGCGCGGCGTGCAGATATCCCCATATATGTACACACTGTTGCGTAAAGATAAGCGTTGCAAATCGTTACAAATAACGACAACCATCGGCGGCTGTCGCGATCACGTGAACATCGAACTCTGTCTTTCCGAGTTCGAAATGCGACGCGCTCGACACTCGCCAAGGATGATCACCGGCCACGTGGCCACGCTCTTGATTATCTCTGTCACACGATAATTCTTTTGTCCTCCTGTGTTGCATTATTTGTGCATGTACGTGTACGTGTTGGGTGTGCGCGTGTCTGCAAAAGTCGTACATATTTTATATATATACATATACGAATATATATATATATATATATATGGTTCTCTCATTCACGCATTTTGTCTCTTCTCTCTTTTTACACGTGTGTGTGTGTGTGTGTGTGTTTTCCTTTTAGTTTTTGTACGAATACATCTACAATTGAACAGCAGTCGGCAATGGCTGGACAGAATCGCTTTCGATGAAAATATTTGTTTCGTCTTTGCTACTCACTTTCGTCTACTAAACCTGCTATCACGAGTTATCCCTTTCGGGCTTCGTTTTCTCGTATCTTCCTACGCTTTTTTTTTTTTTTTTTTTCCTACGCTTCGTCTCTGCCTCGCGATTCATGACATGTCGGGAAGAGAATTCGCTTCGTGCATGCACGCAGGACCGTAGAAATTATCGTGGAGGCGTAATTATGCGAACAGTCTCAATCTCAGTCAATTGCTTTTTAATCCTTTTAATTTTTTCTTTAATATGTGTGTGTGTGTGTGCGCGCGCGTTGCGTCAGTGTTCAATTTCTTCTAGAAAAAGAAAACAGAAAAAATCGAAAGTTCTCTCCGAGAAAATTCGCACAATTACGCCTCTCTGGTGTTCCCCAGGTGCGTCTGACAAAATCTTCACTGCGACCAATCGATTACACTTCGAGCACACATTGAAACATCTACGCTTACGCTTACACAGATTTGACGGAATCTCAGGCAACACGCGGTTCCAACGAGAGACACGCGCACAGTTTTCACCTCGACCGAGTGTCGTTCTTCATCATATATTTCAAGTTTCTCTGCACGTTCGTGGACGTGGCGTGTCGCGGAGAGTCCGCCGTGGCTCGCGAAACAATTATGAGGATGAAACGACAACGACATGAGAGAGCATAGCGGCGTTCAGAAGTTTAGATCCTCGGTTGGATCTCGCCGCATTTTCCCATTTGGACGATCGCGTGATCTCGAGACGCTGTGCCACGCTGTCCGTCGAGACAGTGATCTACGAATCGCGTAATTTCCACGTAGTAGCAGCGAGGAAACCGAGGCCTGCAGGTTTCCTTGGCAAGCTTGCTCGAAACCTGCAGCCTGTTTGCGACTGTATCGACCAGCGACGCGCTTGCAAATCCTCGTATTATATTATATTATATCATACTACATATATATATATATATATATGTATGTATATGTATAATAGTTCACACGTATCGACCAGCGATTAATTGCGTATGTATTTGTGACCACTCACGGTTACAAGGCAAACCGATCGAATTAAGCACAGTATCACAAAGCTATCCCCCCGGGGGGAGGGGGGGGGGGATTTTATACTAAATTACAGGTGTGTGTTTCAGGATGTGTTAGTCATTTACAGCGACAACATGGTTGCGTTACACTTATTTGGCTTGAGACGAGGGGGGAGGTATCCGTTATCCTAAGATCACCGACTTTGGAACGACAATCGCGTAGTTTTCCACTTCAATTTAATAGAAAATGACTCCCAGTCTCCTAGTTCGTTTACAATTGGTAAAAGTATACAAAGCGTGGAATTGCTCATAGAGTCGTGGGTATAATAATAACAAAATTCTATCCTGTTCCTCTCAAGGAACTTTTAAACGTTTGAATCGAGAATCTGAGAGTTGGAACGACGTCCGACAGATAGCGTGTCCGATAGAGATTTCACGGATCAAGATCGAGCGATCATCCACGATCGAAAGTCCACGTTTACAACGACACCTTTGTTTTTCTTTTTATATATATATATATGTATGTATGTATGTATGTATGTATGTATACTTATACTTTTTTCCGTTTTTTTTCTTTTTTTTTTTAATATTTTCTCTTTCCTCATTTAGCTTCCTTTACAGCTACACATTTATCTTAGTTATTAACTCTCTCTCTTTCTCTCGCGCGCACACACAGACACATTCGTTCTTACACGTCGTACGACTCTGCTCGTACACTGTCCGTCACATCGTTGCATTTTGTACCTCCCGTTTGCGTTTCGCTACGATCCTTTAAAAATATCACCAACGCCCTCTTACCTCTCCGTTCGCACGCATTTCCGATCGAGTTTTGGTTCGAGAGCGGAACGAGTCGGAACTTTTTCTACGGGTGGCTTCTACAGTGTCGAGGGAGCGTCGACTTTTTTCTTTTTTTTGTTTTCTTATCGTAAAAGCGATAGTCTCAGTGCTTTCGTTTCGCCTGCGAGACGACGCGCGACGCGAGGAAAAGATCTACCATATTTTTTTTTTTTTTTCGTCCAGCCGCTTGCCTGAACAATAAGACACTTAACAGTTGGACGATCCCCGGTATCTGGGAATCGACGAGTGATTTCTCTCTCTCTCTCTCTCTCTCTCTCCCTCTCTTTTCATTTCTTTCTCTTCTTTTTATGTTTTTAAATCTTCTCTTGTTCTCTCAGACGCACGACTGCGTATGACAAACAGAATACACGCGAGGGAAGGATCGGAAATCGTCGTCGACGCGCGTGTATGTGTGTGTGTGTGTAAAAAATATTTCCTGTTCTTCTTCTTCTCTAATTGTGAAGAGAAACTGCGCGGAGAACAATCGAGAAGCGAGAGCGAAAGCGACACGGGGACAGAGCCAAGTGGATGATGAATCAAGCTTGATTTCGGCGTGTATCGTAAAGTCAGTTTGTTTCTCTCGTGTATGTGTATGTATGTGTACTGTCTTCTCCTCGTCTTCTCCTCTCTTCGAGTCTTCTCGTGAAAACGCAGTCGACGAAACTCGGGGGAAGCAGGCTAGGTTTGTAATTATCGAACGATCGTTCACTCTTCTCTTTTCTTTCTCGCAAAAAAAAAGAAATGCCGACAACGAGACTCTTCTTCTTTTTTTTTTTTTCTCATCGCTGTCGCGCGAGAGTTAAAATTTAATAAATATGTCGATTAATTATCTTACTCCGTAAAACGAAGAACGAAAGGAAAGAATCTTGCTTTTCCGTTTAAAAAAAAAAAAAAATAACAAAAAAGATGAAAAAAGGAGCAATCCTTCGTTTTTTCCTTTTTTTTTTTTTCTTCTATTTTCATGTACCCTCTTCCTCCCAACCTGTCCCTACGAATTTTAGAATATATGCCTTAGAGTATTGAAGATACAAAAACTACGATAGAAAAACAGAACAGACTTCGAATATTTTTTTTGTTGTTTTTCGCCAGCCCTCTTGCTCTTCATTTTCATTTAAATTTGTCGCACTCAAATATCAACATCGTATTCATTTATTTTTCTCTCGTTATTATTATTATTACTATTATCATTATTATTATTATTATTATTAGTTTTCTTACAGTTATTTATTATTAAGTATTATTGTTATCATTAGCGTCACTCTTAATACATCTATGAAACCCACGTATCTTTGTCTCTTTGTCGTCTGTCTCTCTTTATATTTCTCTTTTTTTTGGTACAGATTGTCATAATTGGCATCGCGTTGCCGTCAAATCTCTCATCTCATAATCAGCCTTCGTCGCTAATCTCTCTTTCATCTGTTCTTTTCTTCCTTCCTTTTCAGAAAGAAACATAACGACCGACATCTACTTTCAACATCGTTACATTCCGTTTTGTTCTTGTACAGTATGAAATTTGTGCATTTTCTCTTGCTAACGCGCGACTAATCGATACCGACTGAAACTAGCAATCCACTCTCCCGTTCCCAATCAATCTTCTCATCTGTTTCTTTCAAGCTTCTCAAACCTGCCAATTTCTACTTCTGTCTCCCCCAATGTCATCTTCAATAGAAAAAATGATTTCTTTTGGAAATTATTCTTTGAAATGATTTCCCTCGACACGCGCGCATCTGTCACTCTGTGACTCTGCCTACGTTTGAAATGATCGACCGGCGCTTAATCATTGAGTCATTCATCATCGCGCGATATATACATCAATTGAGGAACAATTTCCCGCGAATAGTTGAACGAAACGTGCATTCTCTCTTCTTGCACGCCAACATCGTCCATACTTGGCGGTAGGTAAGGTTCCAGGTTCTACTCTCCTCAGGTACGAGTTGCTTCCTCCTTTTCTAGAGGCGACGGCCGAAGAGAGAGGGAGAACTCATGGAAACAACTGATACAACACTGTCGACAGTCTCCTCTTACATGCCGCAGTCGAAGCTCTCCTGATTTTGCACTTTCTTCTGGTAAGCTTCCAAGTAGCTGTCCACGTTCCTGTAAATTCCAGAGTTCGCCTGGTACATCAGAGTCTCCAGGATCTTCTCGTTTCTGATGGCCTTCGATGGCAAGACGATCTGAAAGGGAGAAAAAGAAGGAAGATGCTGAGGAAATTATTCAAACGAGTATTATTCTAACTCTCGGCGTGGCTCACCCTAATGAGCTCCTGAGGCGTTATCCTGTGCAGTTTCAGGTCTCTGCTGAGCCTCTCCATGATGCACTTGAACTCGACCTTCGGGTCGACCTTGCTCGACTTCCTGTCCTTGATCCTGTTCTTCGCCCACTCGAGCATCGCCTCGAACTTCTTGATCTCGCCGACCTCGAGCCCCCTGCCCATGATCATCTGCACCATCGACTCGCTCAGCGTGAGGAAGTCCGGATTCTGGAACAGCTGGTAAGCCCTGGTCTCGATGAACGCGAGTATCATGTTGACCAGCTCCGAGGCGGACGTGTACCGCCAACAGTAGTTCTCCAACGCGCACAGCATCACGCACACGATCTCGATCCGCAGGAACTGCTTCGCGTGGTGGAAACACGCCTGCAGAAGCTCCGGCAGGTCGTAGTGCTCCGCTGCGCAGATCAGACCGGGGATGTTGCTGCAGGTTAGTGGACAGGAGCCCGTCTGCAGGTAGTTGAGCAGGATCTTGAACGTCTTCGGGTCGAACTCGATGATGTCGAACTGCGTGACGAAATCGAGAAAAATCCGTGAAACTCGCAAAGTGGATCTTCTAGGACAAGCGCTGAGCGTTTGTAAGCAAGCACAGTAAACACAGATCCTCTTTTTATTATAGTTTTTTTATAGTATTATAATTTTATTATAGCTATTATAGTTTTTAGCATAGTTTTATCATTTTCCTAAAAATGTCTGTCGGTCTTCTTATCTTTTTTAATATTTTCCTAAATTATTTCCCAAATTTATTTCTTACTTCGATGTTTAAATGATAATATAATAAAATATAAAAATATAATAAATATAATAAAATATAATTACATAAATATAAATAAAATATAATATAATAATATAAATATAAAATAAAAAAATATAAAAACATAAGTATAAATAAAATAAAATACAATAATATAAATATAAATAAAAAAATATAAAAACATAAATATAAATAAAATAAAATATAATAATATAAATATAAATAGAAAAATATAAAAACATAAATATAAATAGAAAAATATAAAAACAAATATAAATAAAATAAAATATAATAATATAAATATAAATAAAATATAATAACATAAATATAATAATTCCTAAATTATTTCCCAAATTTATTTCTTACTTCGGTGTTTAAATGATAATATAATAAAATATAAAAATATAATAAATATAATAAAATATAATATAATAATATAAATATAAATAAAAAAATATAAAAACATAAGTATAAATAAAATAAAATATAATAATATAAATATAATAAATTTAATAAAATATAATAATATAAATATAATAAATATAATAAAATATAATAATATAATTATAAATAAAATAAAATATAATAATATAAATATAAATAAAATAAAATATAATAATATAAATATAATAAATATAATAAAATATAACAATATAAATATAATAACATAAATATAATAAAATATAATAATATAAATATAATAAATTTAATAAAATATAATAATATAAATAAAATAAACTATAATAATATCATAAATATAAATATAATATAATAAAACAAGTAAAAAAAAAAGATCAGCAGCATTGATACAATTGGTATAATTAATCAAATTTACCTCCGTCTGCGCGAGCTTCGCTCTGTCGACTTTCTGCGCGTCGGCGCACACGCTGAGTCTCGGCACCGCCAACTGTTGCGCTGCTTTTTCCTTCTCCTTCGCCTCTTTATCTGAAATTTCCAATATTTTCGCATATTTCTTCCTTTTCTTTTTCACAATTTTCGAGCACAACATACGATACACAGTCCTTCCAAGCGACAAAAGAAGGAAACAGAAGGAAATAGCATAGTACGTACTGCTGCAATCCTGCGAGCTAGCCCACCGTTTCCGGTCCTCCGTTTGCAGCGTGTTCCCGCTCCCGTGTTTCTTGATGCTTCGTCCCCAGCCGGCGGTGATCGTGCCGAGCCTCGAGAACGCCCGCTTCATCATCGGCGACGAGGGCACGCTTTTAGGTCTAAACAAGTCAGAGCCAGTATCTCACAGAAACCGCTGAGCGGCACCTCAGGGTACGGAGAGGAGGAAGATTTCTTCCCGGAGGGAGAGAACGAGTTCTGGTAAGGACGTTCGAGGGTAGAGAGGGTGAGGTCGGTGGAAATTCAAGAAGAGAAGGGGCGGAAACTCTCGAGGGTCTCGAGTGGACATTATATAGTTCCTGAACGCATCGAATGGTAGCAAAAAAAAAAAGAAAAAAAAAGAAAAAGAAAAAAAAGAAGAAATGAAAGAGAATACGGACAACGACGAAAGCTCGACCTCTCTCGCTTCGCAAACTCGAGAAAAATGAAATAAGAGAACGTGTATGAAGACCAAGATAATCGCAGAGCTTTTGCAGTGTCACAGAGTTACTCGAGAAGAACTTGTCACGAGGCTGACTTCGTCGAGATCTTTGTATGCACGTTCGCTGCATGCCAGATCGCCAAATCGAGTGACAAAGTTCGAGATCGAGAGAGAGAGAGAGAGAGAGAGAGAGAGAGAGAGAGAGAGAGAGAGAAAGGAACCGAGAGTTCGACAAAAGGCGAGTACAAAGCAGCCGTAGAAAACACAAAGAAAGAGAAAATGAAAAGGAAAAAATAACGGAGAGAAATCGATCACGGTCGGTAAATAATATAATAATTAGCGTGGCTGGTGTGATAACTTCGAGTTACTCTTGCAGTGCTTCATTTCATCTTTCGACTCTCCGAGCAAATTGGCTTCGAATAGTAAAACATGCTACACAGTTCAAATACAGTGTCATTCAAATACAATAGAAAAAAAAAATTACACCGGATTTCAACTATATACTATATATCTTGCATCGCAAAATTCCATCGGTTGTATAGTAATATATGTATAGAGATATATATATATATATATATACGGAAGAAATTTCTGTCAAAGTGAATAATACTCATCAATCAACATGCGGTGCTGTGTGTGTGTCTCTCCGTGTGTATCGTGTTCGTGTGTGTGAGGATAGGAGACATGGAAGTGCCGTAAAAAATACACATAATTACGATTAAATACGTATACGATAATATAATATACGATATATATATATAGATATTTATATATAGTATACATTCGACAACGACATCAAAGATAAATTCAATCTCTCACCGTAAATCTCTCACCGCTTAAAGCTTTTTTAATCGCTAAATAAATCCAGTTATATCTCATCTTCGTTCCATTCGTACTAACCCATTTTATTTACAATATCAATTAGAGTAGCAACCGTATCACTCGAACCGAGGAAATTAACCGTCAGTTGTGTACTAATCGGTGCAACTAACGAGTGCTCAACGTTTAACTTGAAAATGACGAGCGCTGTGTCACGAGTTCGCGGTTTTTGAAACGGCAGAAAAGAAGAAACTGAAATACGATAATTAGCGAACACTCGTCCACGTACAAAAGGTAAGTGGAAAATCCTGTTTTCTATCACCAGCAAATGTTCCAAATTGAAACAAAAAATTGAAATCTGTTGCATCAGAGGAACAAAAGCAGAAAGTTACAAAAATAGATTGTTCCCATCGTCAATGAGAAAATGGGTTAATACAGGCCGTGAAAATCGTAAATTTCGAACAAAGTTGACAGACTTTCTCTCTGGTTTCCTCGCGCGACTTCAATATAAACTGGACTTTTTGAAGACGAGAAAAAAAAAAAAAATGCGTGATCCGTTGCGCCAAAATAAAATAGTAATTGACAAGACACGAACCTTGGACTTTCGACGTCGGGGACTTGAAGGAAGTTGGAGCTTCGCGGCTTCTGCGGGCTCAGCAAGGTGGGCACCGGCCTGGCGAGTAGCTCCGCCACCGGCACTTGCGGACTACCGAAACCCGCTTGAATTCCGTACAACATCTCTTGAAACACTCTGAGAACAGGATCGAAAGATTAAAATTGAGAACGCTCGCATTAACCAATTATTAGTCGATGATTAAAGGCGCACTAAGGCGTCGTATCAATCTCTTACGCGTCGAGAATTCTTTGTCCCAAATTGCAACATTTTCTCAGTTTCAAGTATAACCCAGGCGAAACGAATGACGAATTTATTACTTCTTAATCATTTCAATCCGGCGATATCATACCGACTAGTTCGAAAGAGAAAGAAAGCGACGAATTATTGTGTACGGTTCGGTCACTCGTTATGGTCCGCAATCAGTTGCGAACGCAAGTGAGAATCGAGAATTTTTTTGTTACAAAATTGTAATACTTTTCTCAGTTTTTTAAGTATATTTAAGTAAAACAAAATAGGCAAAACGAATAATAAATTTGTTGCTTCTCAATAATTTCTATCCAGTGATGTCGCACACCAACGAGTTCAAAAAGAAAGCGACGAATTATTGTGTACGGTTCGGTCACTCGTTACGGTCCGCGCAACCAGTTGCCAGATTAACACTTTGCCAGACAGGAATCCAAATATTCTCGAAACTAGTGAATCAATCGATTGAATTAACAATGCATTAATTACTTTCGTCGTTTACTGATCCTGTGTTATAAGCAGAGACCGAATCAGTATTACGGATACCGGTAAAATATCGGTTACCATTTGATTACGTTTGATGAAATCGAAATGGTGCAAATACCGGTGAACCGAATGATGCTATCAAAACAATGTTAGGTAGATGTATTTCGGTATAATACCAGTAAATAAAATATTAATATATTAGAAAAGGAAAAGGAGACAATGATTCAAATGTTTTCATAAAGCTGCCGATAGTAAATTTGATGACGCTTATAAACGTATCCTTTATTATTTCTAGTACTAATTCATCGTTGTATTTCTATACAATATCAGCCACGATACTCTTACTTAATTTTAAAAGATGACCGATTTCTCGATACGTTTTTCCTTTTTCTCGGTGAAAAATGACAATTGTCGATAAATCGAAAGAGGAGTTGAAACGATTAATCGTAGAATGGATGAATATTCCGCTAAATTACTTAAAAACAATTACTGGAAACATGCCTAAGCGTCTGCGATATGTTATTGAAGTTAAGGGCTACCTAACAAAATATTAATTATTGTTTATGTTAACAATATTCAGGTTCAAATAGTTGTAGTTCTTCAAACGTCCGAATATTTTTGCCACGCTAGATTTCGACATAGTTCAGTTTATTATTTGATATTGAGAAAAGTATCTGCAATAAATAAATAAAATTTACGCTACTATAAACTATAATGAATGTTCTATTATATTACTAAAAAATTAATCCAAATTTACCATTATAAACAATCGAAATCCACAACAATATTTTGAATAGCATGATGTCCGAATATTAATAAGAGTCACTGTACGTAGAAAATGAAAAATGTGTTTTCGTCAGTAAAGTGTATGTATTTCGGTATTTTTACTGTTGTGGACGTCAAATACCGATAAAATACGTATGAAAATACCGGTATTAAAACCGATTTCCCAAATAGCGGTTACATTACGGGAGCAAATACCGATATAATACCTAAATCTCACAATATTTCGGTTTCAGTCTCTGGCTGTAATACCTAAACCTCAAAATATTTCGGTTTTCAGTCTCTGGTTATAAGTATCTTTCGGTACTCGTCAAATATTTTGAAATTACTCCCTTCTCCAACGAATCAGATAAAAAATGAAGTACCAGCGACGGGTTTTCGTTCCACTAACTAACCCGGTAGGTTAAAGATTCATATTACATTCGTTTCTCGACTGATCACCTGCTTCTCACTGCCAGAATCGCTCTGACGCCAAAGAATCTGACTTTCTGCTTCTGCGGCCCGTGTACCAAGAAAGAGACGTCGAACAGATTCGTGTTCAACGCGGTGTTCTCCTGGCCGTTGAGGAACACTCTGGTGAAGTCTTTGGCAAGTTGATCGTGATCCTCGAATTGATCCCTGACGGAGTCCAGAAGCGGCGAGGACGGTCTCATGTGGCCAATCGGCCTCCACGAACCGCGTCTGAAACACCAATTATCAAACGTTCTCGTTCCTCTTCAAAATAATTTCTCTTTCGTCATTTGTCAACGATCCACTTTCTACCTGTATGGTTTCGGCAGCTGTCCAGTTTCCGCGTGATTCGCCAGATTGGCCACGATGTCCTCCAACATCTGGGTCCTGGTTCTCTCCTGCATCTTCGCGAACTTTGGCGCGGAGTAACTCGCCCGTTCTCCGTTGACGATCTTCGTGAGCAACCACTCGCGGAACATGGGACCTGTTGCGATCGAGAGATGCGTCAAATCACAATTCTCGAAATTAGATAGGCTAGGTATCTATCCTCTCTGAATCCATCTTTCAATAAAACTGTCGAACATACCCTTTTTGAAAACGTTCTGCTCCCAGAGGTAGGGCTTGTACGCCCCGACCTCGTCCCTCGTGGCGACCGACACCTCGTATCTGGTGACCTTTCGCTTTATCCTCGGGCTGACCCGGACCAGAATGAACGTGTAGAGGAAATGCGACTTCATGCAGGCCGGGTTGAACGAGGTCTTGTCCGCCTCCAGGAACACGACGCACACTATGTCGTTGCCGATGTGCCGTTTCTTTTGCACCTAAACAACGTACGAACTTCAGTTCAGTGTATCACCTTCCCAGAAAGTAAAAATGTTCAATCAGGTTGTACAAACGACGTTTCAAAGCGTGCAATTGTCGTTTCAAAAATTCAAAGCATTCTCTTTCGTCATTTCTTTGGACGTGCAATCCTCTCTGTTTGCAAGTGAAGCTTGTCGCTTTGAAACCACAGCTAATGGTAAAAGAAAAAAAGAAAGAATGGAAGCAAAGTCAAGGCTTTACCCTTTGCACGTCGTGTTTCTCGTTAGGCAGGAACGTGGACACGTGGTACATGATCTCGATGCCCCGCCAATTCGTGTACACCGAGTACAAACCGGTGAGGTCGTGTGCAGTGTCCAAGCCGCCCTTGTACTTGTCGAAACCTTTCAGCCGTATTTTATCGCCGAGTATCTGCAGGAACTCGTCGAACAGCGGCGAGTTCTCGTGGTTGTCCAACACCTCCTCCTCGGTGCGTTGGTCCTCTTGAACGTACAGCACACCGACTTTCAATTCCGATTTTATGAACACCTGATCCAGCTTCAGCAGCTCGTCCTGAGTGTCAGGCAATTGACCTAACGTTAATGGCGGATTCACGTTCACCTCTTTGCCTAAGCTGCGTACCACATCCTCGCGATTGTACCTGTGAGAATTCAGCAACTCGTGGATGTTTGTTTCACATGAGAGAGAGAGAGAGAGAGAGAGAGAGAGAGAGAAATGGTGTTTCAATTGATTTTTAATGATACGTTCAACCTTTTCGCTACTCTCAACTTAGTGTGTATATATATATATAAAATTTATCAACAAGAATTAATCATAGATAAAAATTTTTATACAATATTATTTTAAATCAAAATGTAGTATATTTAAGAATGGATGAATTATAAAAAATTATATTTTCGGATAATTAATTTTAATATTAATTTAAAAGAGTATATATATATTTTACTTATACTTAATTCATAATACATATTTATAACATGTACATTATACATATATATATAATTCAATTAAAATAAATAATTAAATTAATTTACTACTAAATTCTCTTTCAAATTAATATTAAAATTAATTATCCGAAAATATAATTTTGTATGATTCGTCCATTCTTAAATATACTACATTTTGATTTAAAATAATATTTTATAAAAATTTTTATCTATGATTAATTAATTCTTGTTTATAAATTTTAATAACAATACATAAATTCAATTGAAGTATTTCTTACCGTGGATTATCAAATTAAATAACAAACTTCCCTAATATATATATGGGCCGAGAATAATTTCGAATTAGGCAAAAGGTGATATTCGTCGCCTAAAAGTTAAAAATTAAAAATGTGACGTTAAAGAATCAGAGAAGCTTAATTTAAACGCAGTGACTCCCATTGATGTTCAGACGTTGAAATTTTGTCCCAATTTGTAAAAATTTCGTGTGAAATTAGAAAATTTCTTTCACGACTAAATCCAGAGCCTCCCCTTTACATCGCCAAAGCTTGCTCGTACGACTTTTTTTTTTTTTTCGTCGATTTATCGAACTTTGAACATCCACGAAAATGTTATCGATTTCTCCGAATGTTCGTCATTCGACGACGAGTCTAATCTCGTTCAAAGTTCAATAAGACGACAAGGGAAAATCGTGGGGACTTCATTCTTCGAATCCTTTATTAATTTAGTCACGAAAAAAGTTTTTTTTCCATGGCTTTACATACTATCGAAGTTTGGTACGGCGACGTAAAAGTATCACGGAACAAAACATACGACGCGTTTTTGAATAATAAAGGTTTCAAGCTTTGAAAGTTTGCGCGATGCACGATTTCGTTTTAATTATAATAGCTTCAATATTTAACGTGGCATTAACGGGAATTATACATAAATATATATAGTTCAAATCTGATTTATCGAGTGATACTATAATACTTGTTGTTTCTATATATACAGAGTGTTTCGTAACTTGTACGACCCACTTCGGGAGCTGATTGTACGCCTAAAAATAATGAAAAAAAGTCATATAAATATATGTCCTGTCTGTCTTCGTTTATGAGATATAATGAATTCATGAGTTTTAATTACTTTTACAAAAGATGCTCGAAATGACCAGCTTGCATTTGAAGACAAGCCTGCACGCGTCTTGTCATTCATCTGGTTACTCTCTCT